TACTGGACATAAACATGATATGTTACAGGGTTTCTACTAACCCCTGTGTACTGGACATAAACATGGTATGTTACAGGGTTTCTACTAACCCCTGTGTACTGGACATAAACATGGTATGTTACAGGGTTTCTACGAACATCTTTTTACTGGAAACGAACCTGTATTATGTTAAAGATAAGCACTATAATGCGTCACATATTATTACTGACATTTTAGTGATAAGATCCAGCGTCTGGTGAGGTTTCTTAAGAATTACGCTACTTACCAATGTGTAAGCAGAGAAGAAACACTGAACTATATATGTATAAATATGTGTGTGTAGCCAGATTAGGCCATAATGAACCCCCATAAAAGTACTTAAGGGGATACTCATGTCGTCAAGCATAGAAACCAAAAGTCATCCAACCTCTCCCCCACCCCAACAGTAAGCCCGGACATGGATGAAACTGCGCATATCAGTACTTGATAGGTGTTAGGTATACATTGATACGGGTGGTGCAGACTTTGAACATTGTAACTTAAGCTTTAATTAATCGCGAATAAATATTTAGTATGCAACTATTACAATTATTGGGGTGTTCGTTATGACTCACCGTTTATGTAGAGACTCAAAACCAAAAGCTCTTTCTGTATGAAGGAAATACTTATAATATCAATATGTGGGAGAACGTGGGGTAAAATGTGAAGAGGAAGAGGCGTGTTGTCCACCCACTAATTCGTTAGCCTCGATCCTCAGTTCAAACCCACATGGTAAGGTAAACATATGACATAGCAAATAAAATATTTCTAAAGCCCATTGGCACAGGCCCTTTCATCATAGTTTCTGGCTGTATAAACATTTCTGTCAAGTTCAGATGTATTTGATTTGTTTAGGTATCGGGTTAGGTGCATAACCGTCCGTCTAGAAATGATGTTAATAAATTAAATAAATCATATACATTTCACTTGATCAACAGTAATAATTATAGAGGGCAGTAAGTGGCATTTTTCGTGTTTTTGATTTGTTATTCTAGTTTATTCAAGGCGACGCACGTTCAGACAACATGTTTTACTCCAACTGTCGTTTATATAACAGGTGCTGGTCGGTTCGTGCTTTGTGTAGAATTGTAATAATTAACATAAAAAGTATATATTAAAGCAACCCCATGAGCCCTTTACCTATAACCATTACATAAGTGTGTTTACATGGAGAGTTCCAAACTATGTCCTTGCAAAATTATAATAAGGTGATCTGATCCTCTGAGTAGTCTGAGTTTGACTAACACAACCCAAGTCTGCACTACCACAATTCAGTTGTTTAGTAACACAATCCATATTTACCACCACAACTCACGTTTCTACTAATACAACCCATATTTATTAAGACGACTCAAGTGTATACTAACACAACCCATAATTATTACCACAATCCAACTCTTCACTATTACAACCCAAGTCTTCATTACCACTACCCAAGTCTTCACTACTACAACCCAAGTCTTCATCACCACAACCCAACTCTTCACTACCACAACCCAAGTCTTCATTACCACTACCCAAGTCTTCACTACTACAACCCAAGTCTGCACTACCACAATTCAATTGTTTAGTAACACAATCCATATTTACCACCACAACTCACGTTTCTACTAATACAACCCATATTTATTAAGACGACTCAAGTGTATACTAACACAACCCATAATTATTACCACAATCCAACTCTTCACTACTACAACCAAAGTCTTCACTACCACAACCCAAGTCTTCACTACCACAACCCAAGTCTTCACTACCACAACCAAAGTCTTCACTACCACAACCAAAGTCTTCACCACCACAACCAAAGTCTTCACTACTACAACCAAAGTCTTCACTACCACAACCAAAGTCTTCACCACCACAACCAAAGTCTTCACTACTACAACAAAAGTCTTCACTACCACAACCCAAGTCTTCACTACTACAACAAAAGTCTTCACTACCACAACCAAAGTCTTCATTACCACTACCCAAGTCTTCACTACTACAACAAAAGTCTTCACCACCACAACAAAAGTCTTCACTAATACAACCCAAGTCTTCACTACTACAACCCAAGTCTTCACCACCACAACCAAAGTCTTCACTACCACAACCAAAGTCTTCATTACCACTACCCAAGTCTTCACTACCACAACAAAAGTCTTCACCACCACAACAAAAGTCTTCACTAATACAATCCAAGTCTTCACTACTACAACAAAAGTCTTCACCACCACAACCCAAGTCTTCACTACCACAACAAAAGTCTTCACTACCACAACCCAACTCTTCACCACTACAACAAAAGTCTTCACCACCACAACAAAACTCTTCACTACCACAACCCAAGTCTTCACCACCACAACAAAAGTCTTCACTACCACAACCCAACTTTTCACTACTACAACAAAAGTCTTCACTACTACAACCAAACTCTTCACTACTACAACCAAAGTCTTCACTACTACAACCAAAGTCTTCACTACTACAACCAAAGTCTTCACCACCACAACCAAAGTCTTCACTCATGTTATTGGTTTGTCACAACTAACACCTTTATAGATGGAGTCCTACTTACCAAAACTTTGTTCTAGCTCGATATGCTGTAAAGATTATTTTTGTTCTCACACTCAATTTTCATCTTTAAAAGTAAAACTAAATCTTAGAACGGTGTTACCACCTAGTGCTGAACAGTGACGGAATTCCTGTTCAGGGCGTTTGTTGACGCGTCCTTTCTGTTACTCCCGAGATACCTGCCAGGCACGTTTTTATCACCTTGACTATCACACAGTACGAAGAATATTCGAAGATATTACTAACTTCATTGGCCTTTTCATATTTATGAAAAAAAGTGACGAATTTTGTTACGAATAAAAAAAGAAAGAAAAAAAAATTACAGATTGGCACGAGCTTGAGAGGTTTCGTTTTATGATAACATAAGACATTAATACGTGATCAATAATTCGCTTTCAAAGGAAACAATTTATTACATAAGATAACAATATCTGGCCAATATTTCAATTTCAAAAGCAACAGATTACTCCATAAGGCAGCACTGCTTGTAGCCTAGAAACTATCTTGTTATATTCCTATCAGTGAAAGACTCAGAGAATAGCAGCTTAATCAGGTATTTAGTTCTGAGAACCTTTATCACGCAATGCTTTATTCTGTTGAACAATAACAAGAAATCATGTTTTCTCACTGTCTAGGAAGTTATATATAATAGCTGAGTGTAAGGAATTAGCCATCCAAATTTAGTGTGTGTACGTGCGCAGGTATGTGTTTAAATTGAAACGCCTACTAGGATCTGTCGTTGAATGTTTCCCACGTTTCTTGAGTCAACTGGTCGAAACTAACCTGTTTCATGGAAATATGGTTTTGGAACACATTCCTGCCATCTTTCCGTTCGTAGGAGAACGTTTTACCTTATCTACGTATTTAGTAAGTACCAAGACAGCGGTGTGGTCTAGGACTGCTCTGTACTTATTTCTGTTGAACACAACAGGAAATACACAAAACATGTGTGGACGTTTACTCGTGAAGCACAAAACGAATGGACTTTTTTACTGATGAAGTACATGAAGAGTGGTCCTTTTACTGACGAAGTACATAAAGAACGAACTTTTTTACTGGCGAAGTACATCATGAATGGACTTTTTACTAACGAAGTACATGAAAATGAACTTTTTACTGATAAAGTACATAATGCATGGACTTTTTACTGATGAAGTACATGTTTGTTTGTAATTAAGCACAAAGCTACACAATGGGCTATCTGTGCTCTGCCCACCACGGGTATCGAAACCCGGATTCTAGCGTTGTAAGTCCGCAGACATACCGCTGTGCTACTGGGGGGCTGAAGTACATGAAGAATGAACTTTTTACTGATAAAGTACATGAAGAATGAACTTTTACTGATGAAGTACATAATGAATGGACTTTTTACTGACGAAGTACATAATGAATGGACTTTTTACTGACGAAGTACATAATGAATGGACTTTTTACTGATGAAGTACATAATAAGTGGACATTTTACTGGTGAATTACATGAAGAATGAACTTTTTAGTGATGACTTACATAACGAGTATATTTTTACTGATGAAGTACATAACAAGTGGACATTTTATTTATGAAGAACATAACGAATGGGCTTTTTTCAAGAAGTATATAAAACATTTATTTAGGGACCCTCCAGTATATGCGCTAGTGTTTCTTGTTTATTACTAGAAATGCAGAGTGGACCCCCACCAGTTTCTTACACACCTCGTAATGTACTTAATTATTTGTGATTTACTTATAGAGTACATACGAGTCAGGTAGAGTAATGTGAACTAAAGAAACACACTACTGTGTTAGTCCCCTATGTATTTTACATAGAAAGTAGGTGATTTCGCCCGATTGTTATGGCCAGTTCTTCACATTGAGTGTTTTAGCAGACAAAACAAAACATAAAACACTCAATACAATCGATAGGGATTTATAAAAGTTCACCCATCGCTGCTGTTGACCACAAGTACGTTATAAGTCGAACTGATAAAATATTTCATGTCATTTGATCAACACTAAGATGCCTTTCTTCTGAAAGCTTCTCACGATCCCGCTTACTCCTCCTTGCTTTTGATATTATAAATCAAGCCACACCCCTGTAATTAAAGGCCACGTGATAATCAGAAAAGACGGAAAGAGCACACGGAAACTGAAGTAAATGAAAGTCGAGGATTAAACTTGTTTTCAGCAGTGCTGGTTTTTCTAACGTCACCGTTTCTGCCAAAGGCATGAAGAATAGGCCAGTGAACTTTACCTCTCGAGACTAGGAAAGTAGTGAACCATTGGAGGGATAACCATAAGGTTTTATTATCGTTACAACACTGGTATATCAAGAAGGGACATTCATAAGGTTTTATTATCGTTACAACACTGGTATATCAAGAAGGAGGAAGGGACATTCATAAGGTTTTATTATCGTTACAACACTGGTATATCAAGAAGGGAAGGGACATTCATAAGGTTTAACTGTCGTAACAACACTGGTATATCAAGAAGGGGAAGGGACATTCATAAGGTTTTATTATCGTTACAACACTGGTATATCAAGAAGGGGAAGGGACATTCATAAGGTTTTATTATCGTTACAA